AAAAGAAACATGATGGGGCGAAGCCTCAAGTAGGAGTGGAGAAGGATGGCTGCGATAAAGCAGCAAGTATGGAGTTTCAAGACTACAACAACATAATGAGTTACACGCAGCTCTTGACGGCTACCCGTTATGATGAAAGTCTGTTCTAGCATGTACAAGCTTGTTAGATAGTATTTTGGGCAATGTCGATTGTATTTTGGACAGGGTTGACTATAGTATTTTGGACTTGGGGGCTAACTATAGTCTTTTGTGGCCTAAGTGTACAAGTAAAAGGGCCAACCCTATGTACTTGGATGATTATGTAAGAACAAATTTCTATGCTAATTTGCTTCAAAAATTAGTTTATTCATGCCTACAAAAGGCTCTGTATTGTGTTCACCTTTATGTCCTATTGATTTCCTGATCCTCTTAACTGAATGCCCATGTATTTAAAATGGCTTGGGTTTTTCTTTTTGCTTGACGTTTGCTAAACTGAACCGAAATGTTTTGCTTGCTAAATTAAACTGTATTTTGTTACGTTGTTTACAGCCTTGTAAGACTGCTGTTTTGTCAAATTGTTGTTGTTTTGATAGACTAAACTGCTTGTTAATTGAACTAATTTCTGCTCTGTTCTCTGCATGAAGCGTCTCTGTTTTCCCTGGCTGTTCTGTCTACATGTGCGTATTTTGGCTGTGACCTTGTAAGACTGCTGTTTTGTCAAACTGTTGCTGTTTTGATAGACTAAACTGCTTGTTAACTGAACCAATTTCTGCTATGTTCTCTGCATGAAGCCTCTCTGTTTCCCTGGCTGTTCTGTCTAAATGTGCATATTTTGGCTGTGAGTTGCTGCTGGCCGTAGGATCAACTTGGACGATGGATGTAGGGGTGCAAGGCACACCGTGACCCGCCTCTGGCAAGGCATGGGATCTCAGTCTGTAATTGTATTCCTCTCTTTGGTGCTATATAATGAATCTTGTACCTAACTTTTTTTCATAAAAAATTTGTCTTAGGCCCGCTTTTCCCACTCTAGTTGCCCCTAAAATGGAAGGAAAACGTTTATCCCCGGTCAACCGATCCACGAATAACATCAGTCTCGCACGGTGCAGCAACCTACACACAGTCTCACCTTTTCTTCTCTGGAAGCATCCCGCACAAACCCAACTCTCCTAATCCACATGAACCCGATACACACCACTCAACTTCCTCCATCCAGAATTCCCCATGGCACCTCTATCTCTCTCTCGATCCTGGTATTGACGCATCATATTCCCACAGCAATGGCGATGCTTGAACAGTCGCTGCCCTATGTTGCATCTACCACTCCTTCGTCTCCCCGCCTGCATGATCCACCCAATCTGGCTCCTCTGATACGCAGCACACAGAGCTGCAGTCCCCAAGGGTGTCCTCCTTTCCCTGCCCCTTCGCCCAGCTCCTTCTCCCATCCTTTGTCAAGGATCCCATGAAATAGGGGTTGTGAGGCCCCTCTCCCATGCTATTGTTGAAAGGGCTCCAAGTCAAAGACAAAGACAGCATTGTCGTGCATTGTTTATTTGTTTATTTGTTGCAAGCCAAAGACAGCATTGTCGTGCATGACACAAGCTACCGGCATGGTCGCCATTCGGGTGTTGCAAGGTTGTCGTGTGCTGCAGGCCAACCGCTAGCGGTCAAGGACGGACAGAACTCGCCGTAGGGTACTGCAGCAACCGCTGCCGACGACTTTGAGGTCTTTCTACAACTTCGTCAACATGAGGCGTGAGTCGTGCTTCTACAACATGAGGCGTGCTGCAATCTTCTGCAACTTGAGGCGTGTTGTGATCTTTGCAACATGAGGCATGCTTCTACAACAATGTTGTCGCAAGACGAGGAGACAACACAACACTAGAGCTCTGAAACATGCATCGTGTTGCAAAGGAGCTTCATAAGATGTGTCATGTTACAAAGGAATTTCGCAAAGGGCTGCAAGGGGAGCCACGATGCTGGACCACTCATTGGCGCCGATCCAAGCAGTGGTGGATCTAGTGGGGTGCCATGGCACCTCCTCTAAAAATGCAATCTAATTTTTAATATACACTAGACACTATTACAATAATGTAAAGCTATTTGAGGAGTATTTGCTAGGTATGATGATACTAAAATCAAATTGTACCTTTTGGCACCCCAATGTAACGATTCTAGGTACAGCAAAAAGATTCTAGCAAAAAGATTCTAGGTACAGCACTAGATCTGACGGCCCGTGACACTGGATCTAACGATTTTAGGTATGATGATACTAAAATCAAATTGTACCTTTTGGCACCCCAATGTAACGATTCTAGGTACAGCACTGGATCCGACGGCCCGTGACCCAGCTGATAATTAGGATCCGCCATTGGTTGGACCGACGCGTAGCACCATGCCTGAAAGGAAAAGTGATGTGTGCAAATATACAGGTCCAGGCTGATTTAAGAACAAGTATAGTAGCACAGGAAAAGCAGATGAAGAACATGACTAGTCATGAGTACGTGAAAGTTTAACTCCTGAACCTGAGTGAAGCACCTAGGCTTAGCATTGATCATGTCAACAGGAAAGACCGTGAAAAAATAAAAGAAAAAGGATTTCCAAATCAGGGCAGGATCGAGGAAGTCCATTAGTGCAGAGATTCTGAATTCAGCAAAAGCAGTGCCTACGGAATTTGGTGCAAAACCCAGAGCCCAACTATAAGATCCCGCTACCAAATCACAAACCCTCAAGTAAAAAGGCAGTATGGCAGGAAGCACTACTTTCCCATCACATTACCAAATCGCTTGCTTGCTTCTTGCTGCTGCAGAGAAGCCAGCTGCGGCAGATTACAACATGTCATAGTCAATACACCACATGAATCAAAGAGCTACGAGTAGATTTCAGGTTTAGGGGTGGGTGAAGAGAGATGAGTCAGGGGGGTAGACAGGGAACGTTTGTCATTGCATTGTTCTGCCCTGCTGGACAACAGCCACTGAGCTGCTTGCAACCAAGTCCAAGACCAAAATTACCCAACGCAATGGTCCACTACTCTACTCCTAACGAGATCCTGACACTACCATGAGCAAATTAGTATGTCACTCCATGTTGACCCAACGGCCAAACTCGGACTCGTGAGAAGCTTTGGGCTTCAGGCTTCAGCTACACCGAATCGCCGAAGCAACTTGAAGAGGCCACGGAGGGGATTGTTTGGATGGCATTCATTTTTAGGAGAAATCAGGTACAAAGACGAGCGGTGGATGTAGAAGCTGCGGAACAAAAAGAAATTTAGCGTCAATAAGTACAGGAACACAAAGTAGCAATCATGTTCAGAGATATTCACAGTGGTTACCTGACATAGAGCAACACCTCCTGCATCAGCCTGAGCTCCATCATCGGAAACACCATCTTCCCCTGGATCATAACCTTGGAAGAACTCACCAGCGGGGCAAGGCACCTCGCCCACTCGGGAGACAGCTTCCCGATCTACAGTTAGTTGCCAATCAAATAATCGATCAATATTCAGATGCTATGTCTGCACACATATGATGTATATGTGCATTGGAAGCAAAAGCAGAGTGAAGTGGGAACCTCTCCAGATCGGTTTGTCGAGAAGCGCACGATCTCTGACAGCGCCACCGCCTGCCTGTACGGCACCCTGATCCTGCTTTCGTGCGAAGGGAAGGCGAAGTGGACGACCTCGCCGGCGTCCAGCCACTTCCTCCGGCGACAAGTCGACAGCCCGGTGGAATAGGACTTCGTGAAGAAGACCCATTCGCGGTGGTCCGGTGGGTACTCGTCCATCTCCGCCGGCTGCGGCGCCACAACCATCTTCCAGTCGCTCAATGGCGTGGCCCCCGGCGGCGGCATTGCCCGGATGGGCCTTGGGTTCAGGTAAGGCGCCGGGCGGGACGTCGTGAGATCGATGAAGACTACATCGTCGTCATCTCCGCGGTTTCTCTTCTTGGATTTCGGCGGGGGGTCAATGATCTCCACCTCGTCTTCACTAGAGTCCTCCTCCTCTTCCTCCTTCTTTACATGACGCGGCGACGCAGTTTTGCCTTGTTCCTCCTTGACCGGGACCTTGATCTCGTCGGGTTGCTCCTCCTTCTTGACCCAGCCATGCTTGATGTCGGCATCGATTGGCTCCCTCTTGATCTTGGCCTCGACCACGGCGGGAGATTCAAGCTTCACCTTGTCGGAGTCCGCATCGGTTGGCTCCCTCTTTACCTCGACCTCGCCGGCGGCTTCAACCTTCACCTCGCCATGGTCGGCATGGATTCGCTCCCTCTTGACCTCGACCTCACCGTGGGCCTCGACCTTCACAATCACCTCGTCGGAGTCGGCATAGAATGGCCCCATCTTCAAATCGACCTCGTCGGGGGATTCGCTTTTCACTTTCACCGGAGGCGGCAGCGTCGGGGTAACACCGCCGACGGGGCGCTCTTCCTCGTCGCCGTCGCACGACATGGCGGCCGGCCGATGATGAGCAGACGAGACGGGACGGTGGAAAGGGAACGGGGCGCGGGCGCGGGCGGGGGGATAGGGGGATAGGGGAGAGTTTAGGCCTTTGAGATGCTTGGCTCTCATTTTGACGGGGAATGGGCAAAAAAACCAGGGAAGGGGAGGTAATTGTTTTGGTTTTGGCGGGACAGGTAGTAGGGAGATGAAAAAAAAGTCGAGATGGTGAAGTGGATTGAAATGTTTTTCCTTTATCTTTTTTGATTTTTTGATCGATGAGGTTGGCGTGAAATATTTTATACTTCCTCTTTATGAAACATGAGAGTGTATCCGAACAAGGCCTTCGAGTATCCAAACAAGACCTTCGTGATGGTGCTTCCGGAGTTGAATGTGCATATAAATATATGATGTGTGATTTTTATTTTATTTTTTTGCGAATAGGATGCAAGGTTAATTTGAACATCATTCAAAATGTCTAACGTCTATTCAGTCAGCATGCTTCGACTATTTTCTTATGCCGTCCACTAAATGATTTGAACATCATTTAATATATTTAGTACTTATAGTCTTTGTTGGGTGGTATATGAATATGGATGTGTTCTTTGTATTGTCATGATATAGGATGAATAGATTGGAAGTTTTTTCCGCCAAAAGATAATAATAATTGTAAACTCTTTAAAAATTGCACATTATTCAAACGTAAGTGTTGTTTTGTGCTCCGAGATAATTAAGCACCTCATTTTCATTGCAAAGTTCGCGTGTTCTACGTAATCAGTCACCGAAATGGCGTCCAATGTGTTTTCAACGAGAAGTGTTGCGAATATGTATGACCACAAGTTTAATTGCATACCTAAAAAGTTCCGTATAGTGGGAGCGTCTGACTTTGTCGCTTTGGCTTTGAAGAAACAGTAAGGTTTCTGATGGTAATACTATTTCTCCTTAGCAGGTTATCAATCATTGGCTTTGTGTAAGCTCTACGCTACACGCAAATGAAGCATTGGCCATTGTATATGGCACGTGTACGCGGTTGTAGTAGGTGGCCAAAGAGGTCTTATTCGACATTAGATGACATGTTGCCCCATTGACATAGAGACCAACTACAGTTTAAAAGTTAAGTGAACTATTTGAAATATAAAATGTATTAAGTGAACTATCAAAAAAGGCCAACTGCAGTCATCAAGACCAACTGCAAAAAATCGAATCAACTAATACAAAAATAAATAAATAGGTGAACTATTTGAAGGATGTTTCTTGTGAATAGTTTGCAAATGATTATGTTTGTATTGCGTTTGTTTTTGTTCTATATATTTACCAACGAGAGACAACAATGATCATTTACCATGTCCTTATTTGACCGCCCAGGGCAACCCAACAGTTAGGTCAATAGAAAGGAGACTCGTTGCACGACTGGCGCAAAGACCAACTGCAGCTGAGAAGTGAACCAAACTATGGGCAGCATGTATAGCAGACTAAAAGTGCATCTAGTCCCCTATGTGGTTTTGGTAATTTATAGAACATATTGAACTAATGTCTGCTCAAAGCTCATTTCAAGAAAACTTCATTTAGGTACAACACGGGAGATGAAAGTGAACCTCTCAAAAACACTAAAAACAAGTATTGGTTCAAGCCTCAAGACTCACCCTTTTTACATTAAAGTGATCAAAGACCACTGAGGGAGTCCTAGACTAGGGGGTCCTCGGATGTCCGGGCTATGTGATGTTGGCCGGACTGATGGGCCATGAAGACACAAGATCGAGGACCTTCCCCCGTGTTCGGATGGGACTTTCCTTGGCGTGGAGGGCAAGCTTGGCGTTCGGATATGAAGATTCCTTTCTCTGTAAAAAGACTCTGTACAACCCTAGCCCCCTCCGGTGTCTATATAAACCGGAGAGTTTAGTCCGTAGAGGCAATCATAATCATACAGGTTAGACATCTAGGGTTTAGCCATTACGATCTCGAGGTATATCAACTCTTGTAACCCCTATACTCATCAAAGTCAATCAAGTAGGAAGTAGGGTATTACCTCCATCAAGAGGGCCCGAACCTGGGTAAACATCGTGTCCCCTGCCTTCTGTTACCTTCGATCCTTAGACTCACAGTTCGGGACCCCCTACCCGAGATATGCCGGTTTTGACACCGACATTGGTGCTTTCATTGAGAGTTCCTCTATGTTGTCGATAGAAGGATCGATGGCTCGCTTTGTCGTCAATGACAAAATCACCTCTGGAAGAGCCCTAGTTCCTGGGCAGATCCTCCAGATCGGCAATTTCACCATAGGCGCCCGCCCGGCCATCAAACCCAAGGCGGTCCCCCGGATTACCAAAAATCATCTCCGCATCAACCCCTAAAGCGTCGATAAGATGGATCCGGCAGATGTCTCATCTTTAAACGAACTGCTAGATCGCATCGCTGCCCTAGGGGTCGCAACAGATTACGATTTGATTGGGCGTAAACCCGATCAGAGGGGAATCAGATCTCCACCTGTTACCCACCTGGTGACTGTCGTGGAAGAACAAGTTGAGGATACCGCTCCTCCTATGCTGAAAACAAACTATGTTCAGATTTCCGAGCCCTACGAGCCGGACACTCATCTTCAAGAAAGGATCATCTATCCTCCGAACATAGAATCAGGTGTTGAGTCTGAAAACCCCCAGGACACTCCGGATCCTGGGCCAACGACCTCAGAAATTTTTCAAAATCCGAATTCCATAGTGGGTCAGGGTTCGGATTTAAGCCCACCCACCCACCGCAATCAATACTCTCCAAGCAATTCCGGTCCCTCGGACATATGCGATTTAATGTATATACAACAGTAACCTCAGAAAACACTCCATCAATTTTGGGCTAGATTCCTACTTATTAAAAACAAGATCAAAGATTGTTGCGACGACGACGCGGTATCAGTCTTTTGCCGCAACTGCACGGACGAGGGCGTCCTCAACGCCCTCAATCGGCGCCACATACTGCACTTTGTAGATTTGGCACACATAGTACAGAAGTATTGCACAATGGAAAGCGCTTGGAAAGCCCAGACAGCTCGGTGGGAACCACCGGCCTTTAAGCCACCCACCGGCCAGACAAAAAAGGTGCACCCTTACGGGGCACCTGATCATTACTTCACGGAAAGAAAAATTAAACCCTTACCGGGACACAGAACTGTCCTTGATGAATGGTCAACAAGCCCTGTCAGATACACGCGATGCCAAATTCCGAACCAACTCATAGCCTTCGGGGCATGTTGGATACTCCGGCAGGTGGCTAAAAGCGGGGAGGATATTCTCACCAACACTACTCTGGCAAGGCATCCCCCCGAGGATAACGACCTCAATGTGTTTATGGTCTTCGAGACCTTTTCTTCAAACAACTGGCATAAAAGGGCGCTCTGCGACCTCGCCGAAGTCAATCACGTAGCCGCAAGAAATCCTTGGAACGATATGGCGATAACCTTTAACGCAAATGACGAGCCAAGGGCCCGATCAGTCCGAGCACTAGCCGCTTTGGTTCTAAACCCAATTGTAGATGGCTTTTGCCTCACCAAACTGCTCATGGACGGCGACAGCGGACTGAACCTTATCTACGAAGACACGCTCAATAAAATGCAAATGGACAGAAGTCGCATTGAGCGAAGTAATACAACCTTTCGAGGAATTATCCCCAGTAGGGAAGCAAGATGCTCGGGGAACATTAAACTCAACGTGGTATTCGGCATGCCAGAGAACTATAGGTCTGAAGAAATCATCTTCCTGGTGGCCCCTTTCAATAGCAGATATCATGCCCTGTTAGGGCGAGACGCATTCACACGCTTTCAAGCCATACCTCATTATGGGTACATGAAGCTCAAAATGTCCGGGCTCAACGGTGTTATCATTATCGCCAGTGATCCGGACATAACACTCTGCACCGAAAACAAAACTGCATCCCTGGCCCTCAAGGCACTGTCTAAAGCCCTGGCGTCTAAGGAGCTCCCACTCTGCGTTCCACAGTGGATAGAGACGACGTAATTCTTGATAAAATGCCTAAATCCACTTCTTTCAAGCAAGCAAACGAAATAGTAAAATTTCAAGTTCACCCGACGGACCCCAAGAAGACAACTTCCATTGGGGCATAGCTAGATCCAACGGTCGACGCCGCATTGCACACGTTCTTGTGCGAGAATTGGGACATCGTCGCCTGGCACCCCTCGGATATGCTAGGAATCCCACGCGCGCTGGCCGAACATAGTCTCAATATACTGAAGGGACATAAACCGGTCGAGCAAACATTGCAGCGATTTTCCGAACCCAAACGACATGCTATGGGTGAGGAGCTAGCCAAGCTACTCGAAGCCGGGTTTATCAGAGAGATCAAACATCCAGACTGGCTAGAAAACCTGGTCATGGTACCAAAGAAGGATAAATCCTGGCGCTTGTGTGTCGACTTCAAGGACCTTAATAAAGCCTGCCCTAAGGATCCCTTCCCACTACCTCACATCGACCAGATTATTGATGCAACCACAGGAAACGACTTACTGTGCTTCCTCGACGCATACTCCGGATACCATCAAATCAAAAGGATGGAATCCAACCAAGCCGCAACGACATTCATCACCCCATACGGGCCCTTCTGCTTCAACACCATGACCTTCGGGCTCAAAAACGTCGGCGCCACATATCAACGCATGATTCAAACATGCCTGGAACCACAAAAAGGCAAGACAGTTGAGGCATATGTAGATGATGTAGTCATCAAAACTAAGCATGTCGAATCATTGGTGGACGACTTACGCCTTACATTCGACAACCTCCGAAGATATGACATACTGCTCAATCCGGAAAAGTGTGTTTTCGGCGTTCCCATCAGAAAATTGCTTGGGTTCATTGTTTGCAGTAGGGGAATCGAAGCAAACCCAGCCAAAATCCGAGCCCTGTCACAGTTGGCTACACCAACATACCTCAAGCAGGTCCAAAAACTAGTCGGGTGCGTGGCAGCTTTGAGCCGCTTTATCTACAGATTAGGAGAAAAGACGCTGCCATTGTATCGCCTGCTCCGACGCACCGGCTACTTTGCGTGAACGGATGCTGCAACAGCCGGACTGGAAGAAATAAAATCTTTGTTATCAAGCAACCCAATCCTGGCCGCGCCAAACGTCG